AGCAAAAAATGATAGAACTACAAGGAGAAATAGACAAATCTATAATTAGAGTCAAAGATGTCAATAACCCTCTCTCAATAATTGATAGAAAAATATCCAGAAAACTCATTAAGGATATAAACTATGGAAAATAGTATAATAATTTATTTTGAAGAGATACAGTAAACACTATTACCAAATATGACCTAATTGATATGTATAGAATCCTCCATTTAACAGCAGAATACACATTCTTCTCCAGTGCACATGGGACATTTATTAAAGTAGATCATATACTGGGAGTAAATATGTCTCAATAAATTTAAAAGGATTCAAGTCATACAAAGTATTTTCTCTAACCACAATGGAATCAAATTAGAATTCATTAACAGTTATCTGGAAAAAAATCCCCCAATATTTTGAAACTAAATAAATACCAAGTCCATGTTCTTAACCACTATGCCATGTAGATGTGTAGGAAGACAGCTGTGTGGAAAAACTCACCACGCTGAGCTATGGAGTCCACCAGAGACACTCAGGTGTCTCTCCACCTCATAGTAGCTCTAAGATCTTTGTGAAGGCACTTAATTTCTCTGAGACTATTTCTTACTGTAGACAGTGGGAATAATAATTATTGTATGTTCTTTCCAGGGTTGTTGTAAGAATTAAATGAGTTAGTAGATGAAAAGGGCCCTGTACCATACCACCTAGCCTGTTTGTTACTTGGTGAACATTCTCTCCTTCCGCCCTCAGCTTACTCAGTTCTTGGCAGGACTTCAGTGCATAGTCTGATTCCTTAGCATTCGTATTTTTTTACTACAATACAAAGCCCAGTATTTGAATAGTCATCTACTTTTATAATATATTTATTCAGTGGTTAATTTAGAAATAATCTGAAGTATTAGTTTTCAACCAGTATTTGTTTTTAAACTTTTAGAAAATAGTATAATTTATTTTTAGGAGATATATTTTGTTTAATGATATATGTACATCAAATATAAACAAGTGGTCTGATTTCTACTTTGACATCAGAAACTCCCTTGGTTTTAAAGGGATCATCAAAGTAATCAGTGATTATATTTGGTGTTTGGCTCCACGAACAGTTAGAAAATGATATCAAAATCAACCACAAAGATCTCACTTGGAAAATAGTTAGTGGAAAAATAGCATTTTGCACACTAGTATTAGACACAAATATTATAAAACTCTAATTATGCATTTCAACAACAAATACAAAAGGAATTAAAAAACAACATACTCAGAATGCTCTGGAGTCATCAGAAGGCCTTCAGGGAGGAGACAGAGTTTGAGCTAGAGGAAGATATGGATGAATTAACATCTGGAATGTGTACACAGACAATAATTGATTTTTGTGTAGCTCTTGAACTCATATATTATTCATGCTGTTTTTTAGAGATTAGAATTTTTTCATGATTTTCAAAATTACTATGTTATTGTATAAAGCAGTTCATAACATATGTATGCACCATCACCTAATTCATTTATTTTGCATAAACATAAGTCCTGCCATCTAAGGTACTTTAAACAAACAGCTCTTATCAACATGTCAAAAACGTAAACATGGCAATTTGGTATGAATTCATCTTTTCAATGACAATATACCAGCTTAAGCAAATCATTGTTTGTGGGTTCATCACTTTGTTCAGACTCTTCAGATCGTGAAGGAACCAGTAGTGTCATCTCTCTGTGCTACAGAGTCAACACATTCAGATGGCTTTTGGCTTCCCACTGCAGCTTCCTTAAATGTTTAGAAATCCCACCTGAAGCTCATCACGTTGCTTCTCTTTCTCAGGTTGTGCAAATTAAAAATCAAATCAGAAATAGTAAATCACTCTTCTTTTTATCTACAGTGTTTTTTCTTTCCCATCCTCCATCTATTCCTTCTTTTTCCCCTTCCCCTTACCTACACTAGTTCATTCCAAGGAACAGTTCAGGGGCAAGAAGATCTCCTTTCTTCCTGACACAGGTAGAACAGAACATTCTTCTCATTCAACCAGTCAGCCACCCCCTTTCCTTCCCTGAACTCTTCCTTTGTTTCCTCTTCATCAAGGGACTCTGCTGATTTGCTAAATGGCCTCTTCCCCATAATAAATTTAAAGAACGTCTGTTTTTAAAAGTTCTTCTCAAGTCCTTCTGTCATCTAATTTCGTTTGTCCTGTCCCACATAGTTTATGTACATCCTTGTTCTCTTAATTTGAATCCATATTTTGAAATATGTCTTTTTATCCTAAAATAACTCTGGCTCTACCAATTAACCACACAAGGAAATTTTTTTGAACACTTGATATTTTAGTACCTTGGCACAAATTTTTCTTGAGTTTTTCAAAAAATGTTTGTTTACTCTTTTTTTTATATAGTGTCATGGTATCTTGTGGGCTATTAACTCTTGAAGTTTTCTGAATGTTTTGCATTTGATTTCCTCCTTTCATGTGTTCTTGACTTATCTATTCCAGTGTGGCTGGAGTGCAGTAATCAAATGGGAAAGGCAGTAAAAGTCAGGTTGGAGAAGTCCAGGGCCACCATACATGCTGTTCAGTTTGCATCGTGACTAATAGCACAGGCCAAGGGAGAGAAGGGAGCTGGAATCCGGCCTGGGCTCTGCTCACCAAGTCTTGTGCCCTGCCCAAGGCTGTGTTCATCTAAGGAAGGCATGCTTTTTTGATTTACACAAAGGTGTCATATGGGCTGATGGTGGTCCTGTAGAAGATCGTGTATGGAAGTTTGGATTTTATACTAATGCATTGAAAAACCACTAAGAAGGAATAAAATCATCCAATTTATAGTTTGTGAAGAACACTCTGCTGTGTATCAGGTGTTGGAGAGAGGCAGGAATAGAAGTAAGGAGGCCACTCAGGAGGTGGTGGTGACCACAACTAGGGTGGTGGAAGTAGAGGTGTAGAGAAATGGATGGATTCGATGCATCTTTTGGAGGCAAAATGAACAGGACTTGGTGCTGGATTAAGTGTGGAGGGTAAGGGAGACAGAAGTGTGAAAGGTGATTACCCCAGTTACTGACTTGAATAACTCGATGGGTGACGGTACTGTGTCCTGAGATGGGGAGCATTGAGGAAGGAACAGGTGGGGAGGGAATTGTATCAAGATCTCTGGTTCAGACAGTTTTTTTGAGATACCTGTGATGTATCTAAATGGCTACCAGGAGGCAAGTGAACACAAGTACCTGGAATTCAGAAGAACATCTGCTCTTTTTTCTGAGGGCCCTGAGGCCCTCCTTGTCTTTTGTAATCTGCTAGCAACACACCTGAACAGTTCTATCATGTTCCTAAATGATTATCGGTATCCTTTCCCACAAACAATCCAGAAATTTATTTTGAGAGAGCCAAAATAACTCCGTGCATTGAGTATAAACGTAACTGTTTTGCCTTGACGCAAATGATCAGTCCTATACCCAGTGCAATAAATCCCACAGACCCCACACTGGGACTAGTCTTCTATGTGGATTTTATGTAATTTAAATGGCTTCCTGAAAACTTTCTTAGCAAACTTTCTGTTTCCTGGTACCCTAGTTTCAGTATCCCCTTGAGAAATTCAGGTTGACCTCTCTCCTTCTCCTCTTAGTGGCCTGAGAATCACAGTCACAGTAAGTCATGTTTGACGGTTTTTCTCCCAAGTTATCTGGCATTTACTCCCTCTTAGAATTTATAATCATGGCACAATGTAAATCTCGAGCCAGCCTGTCACTGGGATCCCTTCTCTACTCCACTATATAGTCTCCCAGGGCTAAATGACTCCAGGACTCATAGATTTGTTCTCTCGCTCCAGTAGACAGAGCCAAAACCAATGGTTAAAAACCATGGGGAGAGAGATGTTGGCTCAACTGAAGGAAAAACTTCCTAATGCTGAGCGCTATCTGAAAATGGAAACGCCTGCTGGGGAAGGAGTGAATTATGGTTTCTGGTGGTGTTGAGGCACAGAGCAGACAATGATTTGGTGCAAATTCCACGGTAGAGACTGAAGTCAGGGTGTAGAAATAATCTCCACTGACTATTGAATCCCTGCTTGTGCAAGAGCTTTACACAGATGTTTCATCTCATTTATAATCCTCATAACGACCCCCAAGGGAATTAGTTATAACCACATCAGGAGAGGTTACAGTCACAATTTAAGATCACACAACTAGAGTGGCAGAGCCAGGATTTAGAGCCAGGATTTAAACTCAATCCAAAGCCTTTGTTTATTCTTCCACAATTCATGGAAGCTTGAGAAAACGAACTAGGGGATTTCTAAGGTCCCTTCCAGCACCGTGATTTTATGTGAGTCAAAATCTGGATACGGGCATCACTGACTATGTTTTCCTTCAATCAGCCTTCTGGCCTCAATCACATTAAAATGATAATCTTTGACCCCAAAGCTGTCTCATCTCTATCAAGAAAGGACCATTTTTAAAAAATCGACATTTATTCCTTGTATCCACTCTTAGTTTTCAGCAGAACTTAGTGTAAGAGCCTCAAAATCTTTTGTTTTTTCCTTATAGGGTTGCTGGCAAGGACTGAGTTTACACCATAAATGTACAGAAGATTAAGCTTTTAGTATTTCTGAAAACTGTTATAATATATTGTACTAACTTCTCTACTCATTTTACAGGTTTTGATGGTCTTAGAGGATGTAACACTATTTGACCTAAGGTCAACTTTTCTGGCCCGAGTTCTGAGTCAGGTTGTTTTTAAACATTAGAATTTAAAAATTAATATTAGGATTAGAATTTTTAAAATTATTAGATCCTGAGTTCTCATCACAAGAAAAAAAATCTATTTCTTTAATTTTGTATCTATATGAGATGATGGATGTTCAGTAAACTTATTGTGATAATAACTTCAGGATATATGTAAGTCAAATCTTTATGCTATACACCTTAAACTTATACAGCACTGTCAATTATATCTGAATAAAACTGGGAGGAAAAATATGAGTCTGAAAATAGGCTTAATTTACTTATCTTAAGATAAAATGGCTCTATTTGTGCGTTAAATGCTATTTTCTAGGTTGAAGCTGAACTCGCCAAGGAAAGGGCCCAACATTTAGTTGAATTTCAGGAGCAAGCTCTTCTCTTTAAAGAAGTTAAACTGGAACTCGATATTGAAAAGGAAAAACACCAAGAAATAATCCAAAAGTGTAAGAAAGAAAAAGAAGAACTACAAATGAAGGTCTGTCATTATGATGTTCATCATTATTTAATGGGTTTGAAACTGTAGATGTTGGTTATTTCCTCCTAAGGACACCACTATATTTATAACTCCTGTAGATTTTCTCATGGCCATTGTGCCTTAGTTTTAGGTAGATAGAATGGTTTGGCTATTCTCCAGAATGAATGACTGAGATAAATTATATAAGCATACAATCCAGCTATGTATGGTATTTTTTCCTACTAAAATAAACTTATTTTTAAAACAGCATAAATTATGTAACTAATAATTAGCATGGTTAGATGTTCCAATACCTCGAGTATCCAACAAAAGATAATGAGGTGTTTCACATAATTAAAATTTTACCAACAATTAAAGCCTATCCCCTTTAATGGCAAATATTTTCAACTCTAAATATTTTTGAATGAAGGGAAATATTTTTTAAATGTAATCACACCTCCATAATTTCTTTTTTTCAAAGTATCATTTTAACTTTATTTTATTTGTTTTTGGCTGCGTTGGGTCTTTGTTGCTGCGCGCAGGCTTTCTCTAGTTGCAGTGAGCAGGGGCTACCCTTCATTGTGGTGCACGGGCTTCTCATTGCAGTGGCTTTTCTTATTGCAGAGCATGGGCTCTAGGCACGTGGGCTCTAGTACTTGTGGCTTGCGGGCTCTAGAGTTCAGGCTTAGTAGTTGTGGCGCACGGGCTTAGTTGCTCCGTGGCATGTGGGATCTTCCCGGACCAGGAATCGAACCCGTGTCCCCTGCATTGGCAGGCGAATTCTTAACCACTGTGCCACCAGGGAAGTCCCCATAATTTCTTAAGCAATGCATCCTAAACATAATACAAGGTTTTGTTAAGGTTCCCTTGTTTTCATAACACCTGAGAGTAGAATGTGTGTGTGTGTGTGTGTGTGTGTGTGTGTGTGTATTAACCAAGACCCAGTGGTGAAGTCATATTTTTGAATAAACTCATTAAGAGTCTATGTAAATTAGCCTTAAGTGAGACTTACTGGCCGCTACTTTGGTGTATAGAGGGTATGGTACAGCCTTTTCAGTAGCTCACTGGGAACGATAGGCAGGGCTAGCCACGTGAGTGTAGCACCATAGGTCCCCACACTCAAAAAGGCCTTTCAGTTTTAACATTCTGCAAATGCTGTCTTGAAATTCTTAATAATTTTACATCTGGGGGGACTTCCCTGGTGGTCTAGTGGTTAAGACTCCCCCTTCCAATGCAGAGAGAGGGTTTAACTTCCAATATGAGTTGGATCCCTGGTCAGGGAGCTAAGATCCCACATGCCTTGGGGCCAAAAAGTCAAAACATAAAACAGAAGCAATATTGTAACAAATTCAATAAAAACTTTAAAAATGGTCCACATCAAAAAATAAATTCTTAAAAAATTTTTTAAAAAGTAATTTTATCTCTTAATTTGTGTTTTGTTAAGTGAAGTCATTTTGGGACAATGGAGTATGCGCTGGGAACTTGTAACCTGGCTCACCTTAGGCCCCTCCTCTTCTGGACAGATTCTATCCTAGACAGACCTCTTGCTTCCTGGCTCCTGCCCCCCACCCCACTTTTCCCGTAACCTTGTGACTGCTGTTGCAGTCCCCAGGTGGCTCAGGACCAGCAGCAGGGGAATGCTGAAAGGCAGGCCCCAACTTACCAGGGCTACAGTCTTTCAAGAGAAATCATAAGTCCAGATTTTGTGAGTGAATTCTCTTGATTTTTAAATTTTTTTTTAAAGGAATATTATTCAGCTTTATTTACTTACTTATTTTTGGCTGCACTGGGTCTTCATTGCTGTGTGTGGGCTTTCTCTAGTTGCAGTGAGCAGGGGCCATTCTTCGTTGCGGTGTGCAGACTTCTCATTGCAGTGGCTTCTTTTGTTGCAGAGCACAGGCGCTAGGTGCACAGGTTTCAGTAGTTGTGGCACACAGGCTCAGTAGCTGTGGCTTATGGGCTCTACAGCACAGGCTCAGTAGTTGCAGCGCATGGGCTTAGTTGCTCCGCAGCATGTGGGATCTTCCTGGACCAGGGCTCGAACCCGTGTACCCTGCATTGGCAGGTGGATTCTTGACCACTGTGCCACCAGGGAGGTCCCTTGATTTTTAAAATGTTGACTCCCTTTTTAAAAAATCAAAACATGTTTGTGGCTATGTGAGCCTCCTCTCCCCAGGATAACCTGCTCTGTTTCAGTGTCAGCTCTCCTCTGGATGAAGGAAACTACTGTTCAGACCTAGCAGTGGCCCTCTTCCTTCCTGGATTAATTGAAGAAAATGGAATATTAATTTAATTTATAAAATTACTAATGTGGTAAATAGATTTCTTGTAAAAGTTATTCTTAATGTAAATTTAACATTTGAAACAAATTTTGGATACATAACTTAAGTAATGGTTCACAAAATCCTTGGAACTTTGGCCTATGAATGTTTTCCAGATTCTTCATGGGCTGATTTCTTGTACTAATATTTATGTGACAATATCCATAGCATAAATAATAAGGATATGTTTCATCAGGAGTTTTGCTCTTCCTGGTCTGTTTTCTGTTATTTGTTTTGCTTTTTAAGGAGAAAAAATTAAGTAATCTTTTCCCTTCTAAAGAATTTCATGACTTTGAGGAGAAGTTTCTCAAGTTATTCTTTCCTCTCTTCGTCTAGAGGTACCACCTTCAGAAGCAGTATATTTTCTAAGTATTCTGGTATCGTCTAGAACTGCACTGTCTAATGTGGTAACTTATGTGTCTACTTAAGTTTCAATTAATTAAAATTAAAGTGAAAATTGAGTTCCTCACTCATGTTCGCCACGTTTCAAATGCACAAGAGCCCATACTAACAAGCGAGAGCCTATTATGTGCATTTCTTCCCAAGTTAACGAACAGTGATATCACCTTCATAGCTTGGAACTGGCCATGGTGAGAGTATTCACACCATGGAAATTAGATATAAATCTGGCTTTTGTGTGTGTATGTGTGAGTCCGTTGTCAAACATTTACCAGCACACCACTATCAATAGTCACATGTGGCTAGTGGCTACCATATAGGACAGCACAGAATATTTCTATCATCACAGAAAGTTCTGTTGGGAAGGGCTTCTATAGAAGGTGTAGTGTCTAGGGTACCTCCAGTCGTCATATTCAAGAAAGAAAAAAAATATATCGAAGGAAAACTTGTATGGTTTGAGTAGACTATAGGTGTGGTGCTCTCCTACATGCATCCCCAAACATCAGGCATTTCTAGGTCCCAAAGCCACCCTAAAGTGAGTCCAGACAGGCACTTGATCAAGACTTGAGCTGTCCTTGGTAGCTCAGTTCAGCCACAGAGATTTATGTATTTCCAAGTATGCCCAAGTGATTAATGCAATTCCATTTTAGTTGATAAAAATAAAATTTTAGTCTTAACTTTTAAAATCTTGAAGCCCTATATATGTCATAGGATTTGTTTTCATCAGATCAGAACACCAGTTATTTAGAATAAGCCTCTTAAAACCACGAGAATTCTGTGGATACCTAGAGACTATCACCCACAAACTAATGCAAGATTTATCTTACAGATATCTGACTTAATTGAAGGCTCTACTAAAGATCTAAGGCTGAAAGTGGCTGCTCTTGAAGAAAAGCTCCATGAATCCCATATTCAATATACTGAAGAATCTGAGTTAAAGGAGAAAGAAATCGAAAACCTTAAAAATTTGGTTGCAGAATTTGAATCACGCTTGAAGAAGGAAATTGACAGTAATGATTCAGTTTCAGAGGACTTGAGGAAGGAAATGAAACAGAAGTCAGATGAACTGGAAAGAGTAATGCTGGCACAAGCACAACTGATACAGCAATTCAACCAGTCCCAGGAAGAGGTAAGAAGCAGGTGATGGTACCATTGCAATTAGTGAAAGAGTGCATGTTCTTTCAACAAACAAAACAGGAAAGGTAGCTTGGTGTCATGCAAAGAGTCCTGGACTATTAATCAGAGATCTGGGGTCATATCCTGGCTCTGTCCTTAACTAGGCAGGCACTTAACCTCTCTGGACCTGGCTTCCTTTTCTGTAAAATGAATAATACATTTAACTACATAATCTCTAAGGTTTCCTGAGCCAGTTCTACTGTGTTGCAAATGACCATTTAAAACCTCTAAGATTAGAAATCTTTATAAATTTATGTCTTATTTGTTGTGACATTAAATCTTTGCCAAAGAAACTTTTAGAGTACTTGCTGCTTAAGTTAATATTTTGGACAATATATTTTAAAAACAATTGTTCTTTAGGGTTTTATTTTTCTGTCAATCTAAAGTTATAAGATAATTTACATGTAGTGGTCTTCTTTCCTATGTATGCATGATTATTTCAGCAGTGTTTTTATTTAAACCGGAGTAGACTTATTTCGATTTGAAATTTTTTTCCTAAGAAAATCTTATTTCTGAACTGCTGAACAGTTTAGAAATGGTGGATGCTATGGAATGAGTGTGTGTGTGTCCCCCCAAATTCATATGTTGAAACCTAATCCCCAGCGTGATAATATGTGGAGGTGGGTCTGTGGGAGGTGATTACATCTTGAGAGATGAACTAATTTCCTGAATGGGGTTAGTGCCCTTATGAAAGAAAACTTCCTCGCCCCTTCCACCATGTGAAGACACAGCAAGAGGATGGCCATCTTGAATCAGGAAGCGAGCCCTCACCAGACACCAAATCTGCTGGCACCTTGTTCTTGAACTTCCCAGCCTCCCAAACTGTGAGAAATAATGTTTGTTGTTTGAACCACACAGCCTCTTGTATTTTGTTATAGCAGCCCAAACTTATTAAGACAGTGGGGCAATTTTCCAATAGCCAAGAATTAGAATATTGTCACATTAGAATATTTGATCCCATTTATGACAGTATAGCAAATAAAGGCAAATGGAGGAAGATTCTGAATGTTAGTGATGAGTAATTTTTGGGGGGTTTTATTGGCATCTTAATAAAAGAATAAAAGGAAAGTGCTAGTAGTAATATTGATCGTTAACAAACATACCATGTTTTCTTCCTGTATTTAAATTATCAACCCAAATTAAAAGTTTATGCTATCATTATAATTATGAAGTGAACCTATTGCAAAGAAATTTTAAGTTAAAATGTAGAATTAAGAGAATACTGGATCAAGAATAATGCCTAAAACCCTATAGAGTAGGAATTATTTCCATGTTACAGATGAGGAACTGACTCAAGATATTTGAATAATTTGTAAGGTCACACAACATGGTGGAGTGAAGATTCAAATATGAATCTCCAAGATTTGACTCTCCAAACTTCATCTCCATGAATCTCTATACTTCCTCTTTTAGGATACCAGAATTCTAGTTATTCTGCTTCCAAATTTCAAAGTGACCTCAGGCTTGGCACTCAACATCTCCAGGACACACACACACACACACACACACACACACACTGTCTCTCTCTCTCTCTCTCTCTCTCTCTCTCTCTCTCACTTTTAGAATAACAACAAACACACTAGTGCTTACTCCACCAGATGGTTAGGGTGTTACGTGATTGAGTGTCTCCTGTTGGAACACAGCAGCACAGCCTCCCTTGAAAAAGGGAGCTGCTCCACCAGTCCAGGCAGGAGTGGCAAGAGCGAGCACACATGGATTCAGCTCTGCTGGAGAAGGAGAGAGGTGATGCTTCAAATGAGACAGCAGTGTTGAAGTTCAAGAGGAGGAGGGACAGCAGATTAAAGGAGAAAAAACTCAAAGTTACTAGACCAGCAGGTTTTCTAACTCCTAAATCCCCAAAAGAAATGGCAATATGGAAAGTGACGAGTAACTTATAAACTAGGACATGTAGAAAAAGACTGAAGGGTCAAATCCAGTAAATATATAATAGGCAACTATTCAAGTGCCAGGCACTGTGCTGATCATCAATATGCAATTATGAACAAGACTGGCAACTGCCATTCCCTGCTTTCAAAGAGGAATTTACAGAAAATATTATGTGAGCAATTAAATTGACATCCAGAGGAAGGAATGGCCTAAAAAGAAACTTCTCATATAAAACTCACAGACTAAAAGCTAAAAAATTGGCCATAAGGACTTGCATTAGTTTTCTATTGTTGCATAACAAATTGTCATCAAAATCAGTACTTCAAACAACATTTATTATCTCATAGTTTCTGAGTGTCAGGGATCTGAATGTGGGGCTTAGCTGGATGCCTCTGGCTCAAGGCCTCTCATGAGGTTGGTGTTAGGGTGTCCCTTAGAAGTTAAATAATTACAGCTGAACTGTAAGAGTAAATAATTAAGGCTGCTTCTCTGGTTAAGAATGCTAAAGTCCAGAATATTCTTATAAAAATAGGAAATGAGCTAATAAAAGTGATAGGAGTTATGAGCAAGAAAGAATCAAGGTTGTTAACAGGTAAAGTGAAAAGCACTACTTTTTTGTGACCATGCATTCCAGACACTTGAAATTTCTCAGGTTCTGGAGAAAAAAAAAGCTTCATTTAAGTGGAGAACAAATTCCCATTAAAAAGAAGATAAATTAATGGTCTAATAAGGAAGCTAATTAAGGGGAGGAAAGCCCTGCTCTCATTCAAGAGGCCAGAGAATAGATAGAACTTTGTTTTTAATTGTATAAAGAAAGTTCTCAAGGATAGGAGGAAAGCCATAGCCTCTAAAGGGCAAAATGGACATTCCTGCATGGAGCAGGGATTAGTGGAGAGCTGCCACAGAGACAAGGGTCAAGAAGGTGAGGCGACAAGGGTCAAGAAGGTGAGGCAACAAAAGGTGCAGGTCAATAAGAAGAAAGAAAATGGGAAGTAGAACTGTATGGGAAATGTAAATGTGAAAAGGGGGTTCCTGAAATTCTATATAGGGCAAAGACACAGACATAAAAATTGGAACATTAAAAAAAAAAAAGTAGCAAGTCAGAAAAGAAACATAATATGTTAGAGAATAGGACATTATCATTTAAAGTCAGGTTAAAATAGATCACATGCTTCTTGCTGCCAGTTTTCCTTCCTACTAGCTCTGTATGAGTCCTATCAAGACAGTGTGGCCCCGATGTTAGGGGCCTTGTGATCCAGAGGAAGAACGTGGTAAATCTGAAAAAACAGTTCATGTACAACTATCAAAGGAAAGCCAGTACAGAGAGTTCAATATTTTTGTTGTCTTAAAAGTATAGATAAGGAAAACATAAGGGGCAGAAGTTTTAAATTCTACTACTTCCTGCAGCTATTTGATGAAAATGGAAGATTCAAAAATAGGAGGGATTGCTCTTGGTTAAACATGGAGAATTGAATGCATATGTTTATCTCTGCTTCCATGCCAAACACCACTAAAATGACAGTAAGTTAATAAAAAGTGAATAAATCCATAAGGAAAAAAGAACAAGAAAGGAGGTGACACTAGATGAAAAAGACGTTGACTAAATTTTGGAAAATGGAAAGTAAGGTATGGATGAGAGGTAATCAGCAGGCTACGGCTATTGAAACCTAATGCCTGTGGAGAGTGTGGGAGTACGCGGAATCCTAAAAGGAGCAAACCCAATCACGTGACATGACACTGGAAAGGCTCAGGAATTGAGGACACCAGATACCTCTGAAAGAGGGAGAGAAGAGTGGATCTGAAAACAGGGCTGTTTGAATTATTGTAAAAGGAGCAAATAGATGCTTAGATGCCCTCTCTAACCCCCAAGCGGCCCCCACCTACCATCCTGGCAGGATACCAAAGGTTTACACTCTAGAAAAACTGAATGCAAGAGGCTTTGGTCTTGAGGATACACAACAGCAGAATATGGGATAAGGCAAGAGCTGGACTGAAGGTCTGTGTATTATAGGGTGAGACGTCCCAGTCCCTAAAACCCACTCACTTTCCAAAACACAGACAACCAGGCTTATCTATCAATATCCAGGAAATTGGAGGAGCCTTCTGTGGCGAAATGAGCTAGCTCAGAAGAAAAGACCTCTGGATACTGATAATTGGGGCCTTTTAATTAAAATGTTTTTTTTTTATTGGAGTATAGTTGCTTTTCAATGTTATGTTAGTTTCTACTGTGCAGCAAAGTGAATCAGCTATACGTATACATATATTCCCTCTTTTTCGGATTTCCTTCCCATTTAATAGGTCACCACAGAGCACTGAGTAGGGTTCCCTGTGCTATACAGTATGTTCTCATTAGTTATCTATTTTATACATAGTATCATGTATATATGTCAATCCCCATCTCCCAATTCATCCCACCCCACCATCCCCCTTGGCATCCATACGTTTGTTCTGTACATCTCTGTCTTTATTTCTGTTTTGCAAATAAGGTCATCTATACCATTTTTCTAGATTCCACATAATATGCATTAATATACAATATTTGTTTTTCTCTTTCTGACATACTTCACTCCATATGACAGTCTCTAGGTCCATCCACGTCTCTACAAATGACCCAATTTCATTCCTTTTAATGGCTGAGTAATATTCCATTGTATACATACACCATATCTTCCTTATCCATTCCTCTGTTGATGGACATTTAGGTTGCTTCTATGTCCTGGCTATGGTAAATAGTGCTGCAGTGAACATTGGGGTGCATGTGTCTTTTTGAATTATGGTTTTCTCTGGGTATATGCCCAGGAGTGGGATTGCTGGGTCGTATGGTAGTTCTATTTTTAGTTTTTTAAGGAACCTCCATACTGTTCTCCATAGTGGCTGTATCAATTTACATTCCCACCAACAGTGCAAGAGGGTTCCCTTTTCTCCACACCCTCTCCAGCATTTGTTGTTTGTAGATTTTTTGATGATGCACATTCTGACCAGTGTGAGGTGATACCTCATTGTAGTTTTAATTTGCATTTCTTTAATAATTAGTGATGTTGAGCATCTTTTCACGTGCCTCTTGGC